GTTCGAGCCTCGGTGGGAACAGCATCACTCACTGGGGAATGCAGGTACATCCAGCCGACGAGTTCCAAATAGGACGAAATGCGATTCCTGGCTGGATTCCACCGCTAGTCACCCACCTATTAGATCTTGAAAAACGTGCACTATCACTCGTCGACCTATTAAGAGCCTTCTAAATAAAATTAAAAGAAAGACAGCGAATGTTTTGACCATGTATTCATCCCTGAATGATTTCCTGTTCTGACTGTCTCCTCTTAAAAGTAAACTTCTATTGATCCACAATTCACTCAAAACCTAAGATTTGTTTTTGAAAAAAAAAAAGAATATCTAAATTTAGAATTTACAGCACACAGAATCAGCTAATAACATCTTTGTTCAGTGTGTGTATGCAACGATGCATAAAAACACCATGTGATTTTGAAGAATTTTCATTTTTTTTTTCGTCGGGAATAAACTGGCTGTTGGTTGTTAGTAAGATACATTGATAAGTTTTAATTTTTTTATTCCCTGTTCATTTATTATCACCTAAGTTATTCTCATCAATCGCCTTAGTCTGTTACATGAAAAGAGCAAAATCTTGTTGTTGTTGTTGTGTTTTTTTGAAAGTTTTGCTTTTCATTAATGAGCGAGATAGAGAGTTATGGAACAACACAGACAATTCGAATGTTCAGGAAATATTATTTTTAAAAAAACAACAGTGAATATTTACGTCAAATGTAGTGAAATCTGTGAAGGAAATACCTAGACAGATAGATATTTTGTTATTATTTGTAAGCAATGGGAATTTTTATTTTTTTGGGGGGAATAAAATGGTGATACTTTTGAAACATCTGGCACTGAACGACAAAATATTTTTGTATAAGTGCGAAAATAGTCTAATTATATTTCTTAACATTTTTGAGGCACAGAATATATGCCATATGCTGCGTAGTGTAAGTTTTAAATTCAAAAGGCACTGATTTGCGCCTATGGCATAATGCAATCATTTGCGTGAAAAGCATTACGGTAACTGTTGGTTATAGTAAACTACAGCCTAAAATGTATACTGGAGGGATTATGAGTCATCTCATGTGTTAAAAGCACATATCTTTTTTTAACTGATTAAAAATGCCCATTAGAATTTACAAAAGAACGGATACTGAACAAAGAATACTCTTTTTAATAACTTCATCATTATCAGGCTCTACAGTTATATATCCATCCATAATAGTGAATGAATGAATTAGTGTTATGAACAACATTAATGTTGTTGTTCAAATAACATCAAATCAATAATAACATGAATGGATTACAGTTCAATAGCATCAAGATAACAATAAACTGAATGTCAGAAAAATTAGGAAAGGTAATATTACAAGTTCATGAATTTATGGTCTCCACTGAAGGCCGGCCAGGGCAGTAGTAGTGGCTAGCTGGACTTGCTTCTTTTGCACACAGAGCACTGGTTGTTTGAAGCGAATTGCAATAGTCTCTGCTGTTTGAAGCATGCGGTGCTTCGATGATTATGGTAATTTATTAGGCACCCGGTAGATGATAGAGAAGGATTCTTCAACGCTGGCTTTGCGGTCGGTTTGCACCATATGGTCCAATATTGAACTACTAATGGTTTCCACTACACATTAACTGAACCATAGTGGGAGATGTTCTCGAGCACGAAAAATCAAGTTCCTAGAGCAACGGCCAATATAACTAGGTCCACAAACGCAGATGAACTAGTAGATAGAATTTGAAGTGGCTAGTCTAGTTACTTCATATTCCAGTGGAGGAAGCACCATCGGTCGTGTAGAAAATAAGACGTGTATTTCGCCAGGATTCAAAGATCTTCGAACTGATTCTCTTTATTTCCTCGTAATTATCTCACTTGGTATATCGCTCTGGAATTGTAGTCGTATATAAAGAGGTTTCTTGTTTAAAGATAGTGAGTAGTCCTTTTCCGCTTTCTTTGTCATCTTTGTTTCTTGATAAATTTGTCGGGATAGCTATTTTCGATTTGGATTAAGACAAAATTACATAACAGCAAGCTTAAACAGAGGTTTCACGAATAATGAACTTTACACAGAACAAGTGACATTACTGTCGAGTGATAGCAGTAGCTCTCATTTTCAATTTACGATCGAAAATCGAAGTGATATGCAAGTTGTGCAGTTTCTCTAGCACACATACAAGGTAGCAGTAAGACAGGTGAACGTCTGCCCTTCGTATTTCAAACACTGCAGAGGTAGAACCCAGAAGTATTAGGCCCTAGAATCGGCAATTCGTTGAGATAATGTGAAATATTAAACCTGACAGTGAAATTTCAATTTTTTAGAAGTTATTCGTAATCTGCTTCTTCTTATTTCTATGCTACATGAACTTTTTGATAAGGATCTCTGACTTCGCCTCTTCACGATTTAATCCGCCACTTCGTTATCCAAGATTCTTGCATAAGACAGGCAATATAACACACTATTTACAAAGTGTAGTCACTAGCTTGTGGTACAAGATAATTTTAAACCTTAAATCAGTTGTGAAAGCCAGTTAGCGAAAATATTCATTCATGTGTCTATAAAACACAAAATAATTGAGCAAAGAATATTCTTTTCCATAAACTCCTCTTCTGGCTCTACAATTATATATTTATATATATATATGTTTATATACATCGAATATTCTAGAATAGTCGTCATTAACAATATGAGTGTTTTTTAAATAATATCGATTTGTAAAGTAAGATCACAATGGAATAACAGTTCATTAAAGATGATTAAATTATCTTAATAATAATAATAGTAATAATAATAATAAAGATATAGTAGCAAATCGAATATCAACTAAAATTGGGAAAATTTCTGCAAAACAATTGAGAATCATTCAAACGTAGATGGCCAAGGTAAGGATAATGTCTGAACCAACCAACTTCTTTTGGACGCACAAATTAGGCTTCTTAATATGGATCCCAACGGCCAGCCTCAGCAATATTTAGTAATCGAACCCTTAAGGCGAAATTGAGATTTGTTGGTATGTGGTAAATGACTCTGAAAGCCTGGTTAACATCAATCTTGTGTTGTGTAACTACAAGATGAGATAGAATAGCGCAACGAATAAATTTTGTTTGTTCTTTGCTTCACCACGCAGGGTGATGTTCTGGAATTCGACGAGAAACACGCCTAATTGTATGGCCTATGTAACTGGCTCACTCCACAGGAGCAGTTAAATTGGTAGATACACATGGAAGAGGCGAAATTAGGCGAAATTGTTATTGACTACTATTCTAGAATATTCTATGTATATCAACATATGTTATTGCAGAGCCAGAAAAAGAAATTATCGAAAAGGATATTATTTGTTCAATTATTTTCTGTTTGCATTCATGCTTAAGACGTGATTCCTCATCACAGAGTTTTGGTTGCCTATGAAACCACTTAGTGAACTTTTTGGGACATTATGTTATGTAAACCATTCAGAGGATGTTTTATTTACGTTCCGAATGGAACATAGAACTTCTGAAGCTTTAATAGCAGTGGTTGTATTTTACCAAACCTCACTCCCATCCTTCCTTTTTCACCTGCCTTACTACCGACTTTCTGAGGTTTACGAAAACTCTCCCAGTATCCAGTGGTAGGTCTGATGAGATTTCAGGCCTTATTCACTAGTCTTGCTTATTATATTATTATTATCGTTCCCTTGGGTTCCTAAAGGAACATAGGGCTTCAGATACACGTATCCACTTGCTTCTGTCTTCTGGTGTACTTTTCACTTGCATCCATGTGAGTCCATACTGTTTCAACTCCTCTTCACACGATCTCCTCCTTGTCACCCGTGGACCTCCCGCCCACCCCAGTGGCCTCCTCAGCGAGTGTCCAATCCATCTCCACTTTCTCCTGCATATCTGTTGGGCGATTCGTTCTTGCTTTGTTTGTTCCCATAGTTTCTTGTTGGTGATTCTTTCCGGCCATTTGATCTTCAGTATAGAGCGAAGACAGCTGTTGTTAATAAAGGTGTGCAACAGGCTGTTGGAAATATTCTTTGTGACCCGCCAACTTTCTGATCCGTATAGAAGAATTGACCGACTTGACGTTTGTATTGAAAATCCGAATTTTGTTGTTGATACAGTCTGAGTGACGAAGATTTCCAGATTGGTTTCAGGTTGATGATTGTGTTTCTCGCCTTCCCGATTCTCGATTTGACATCCTCGTCCCTCCGTTCCTCCTGTAGTTGAGACAATGCTTCTAGGTAAGTGAATGAAGTAATCTCTTTCATATCCCTCCCATTGATGGTGATTGGCGCCGGATGTTACTGCTGTTGTTGGTTGTTTATTTTCATAACCTTCGTCTTGTCTATGTTCACCTGGAGTCAGTCCTGTCTTTGCTGCTTCTTCGACCAGTTTGTCGGTTTTCGCTTGTCAGTCTTCGATTTTGTGTGACATCAAACATAAATCATCCACACACGAAATCCAGGTCTTCTTCTAGATTCTTCACGTCGGTCCAGGATCTCCCTGTCTTCTCATTTCCCACTGTCTGAGGGATAATCCAGTCCAGTCCACAACAATTAGGAATATCACTGTTGATAATAAGCACCCTTGTCTGACTGCTGTGTTTACTGGAAACGCCTCGCTGAGTTTTCCATTGTAGATCACTTGACATGTGCCGTTGTCGTACAGCTGTTGAATAAGGTCGATGAATATTTGGGGTACGCCGTAGTACTTGAGTAGTTTCCAAATTACTTCGCGGTCAACGCTGTCGAAGGCCTTCTCAGAGTCTATAAAGTTGAGGTAGAGGTTTGGTTTCCATTCCATGCTTTATTTGATGATGATGCGTCCTTTATTCTCTCCAGGATGATGTGACTCAGGTTTTTACTTGGCGTCGACAGGAGCATGATTCCTCGCCAGTTCTTGCTTAGTTAATTTTTAAAATTCCTCCCCAGAGAAGCGTGGAAAATCTCACTTCTGTTAGTGTCTTCTTCATGAAAATATAAGTGTGTATTGAGATTTTAAAAAATTTCTTTTTGTGTTTCTTATTTTCCAGCTTACTGATTCAAGCTTGGGATTATTTAATTCTAAAACTGGTACAATTGTTATTGAAATACACTGGTTATACAGACATCAAGTTTACATTGATACAATTTGTCAAACAGATGAAATTGGAGCACGACAGTATCAACAAATGAGGTAAACAATGCGAAAGTGTTTTTGATCACTTAAACCTGTTTTCTCCCTGTTTTCTCCAGAATGTAGTAAGCGCAAGTAAGTGTTATTGGTTCAAAGGTAGTTTGCTCGTCAACTACACATGGCCGACTCACCCCTAAACCTCGCTAGGCCAGTAGTAACAATAATAATAATTTACTTTATTCCAAAAACATTACTTGTGATACAGAATGGAATTTTCAGCATTAATCACAATATTGCATCTAATTTCCTCAAATTATAAATAAAATTAATCACACAGAAAATTTTCCACATATACAATGGTGGTGAATTCAAAAACATGCAGCATATAAAATGGAAATAATAATAATGGTAGCAGCTAAGGTAATGATAATAATAATACAAGTGGAAATTGCTGTGGGCTTGTTTCACACAGTATTGTCGATGCGGTATACAAATCCTTGCATGATTAAAAAAATGTTGAATACAATGTTCTCTTTACATGATATGGGGAGGGAAAAACAAAGATTACAGCAGTCATAGAGATAAGTTGGTGTTTGCAGTTATGAAAGTAAAAACAAAGAATCAACAGGACCATAAATATAATAGAAATCATAAAAGTAAAACTTGAAAGTATATAAGAATGGATGGCTGTAGGAAACTGTTTTTTTACTAGATGAAAAAAAGGTTATTTAATTCTTGTCTGACACTATTTTCATCACATAAAATACGTGCCAAGTATGGTATCATAGAATTTTTATACTTAGACGTGTGGGCATACAGTTTTCTGAAGTTACTTCTTGTTCTACCTGAGGAGATGCAAGGTAAAAGCTGAGGTTGAAGTGGATGCTCCAAGTCAGACAAACTCCCTTTAGCAAATTTACTGCACGAAGTCAAGTGCCTATTGACAACGACGTCAACTATGTGGTCCACTGGGACACCACCCATCCTACTGACAGTCTTCAGCATTCTACGAATTGTGACAAAGTCCTTTTTAAGCAGACCAGGAAAGAATAAGGGTGAACAATAAAGAAGAATAGGTAGGATGCAAGAGTTTTTGAACTGTAAGAGGAAGGGTTGAGTTATACCCGAGTGCCTTAACTTCTTAATGTAAAATATCAGGCGGAATATTTTACTGAAGATCGCTAGGACATGAGAAGATCAGGAGAGATCAGAAGAGAGAATAAGTCCAAGATACTTAATTTCTGATTTAATTCTTATATCATTGTCGTCAATCTTACAACTGTCATGAGAATCGACGGCTTTTTTTAACTGTGTTTTACATCTAAAGCTGAAATTAACAGTTTGAAATTTAGAAGGATTCAGTTTAAGACCGTTAGACTCAGACCATTTACTGACTCCCGATAGAAAGCTATTTATTTTGGTACAATCTAGCTGGGATTTGACAGCCATTGAAACAGTTAAATCATCAGCGTACTTCACAAAGTTTATTTCATCAGACTGAGTCAAGTCATGTAAGAAGAAAGTAGTAGTAGGGCCTGGTAAAGAGGGAAGATTGGATGTGAGATTAGCAACCACACCCCAGAGAAATAAAAAGCCACTGCTGCCAAAACTTCAGAGCTGAAGTTTGAAGCCCTATGTCCCAGTCAGAACACAAAGAAATCAAATAAATTTTTAAAAAAAGAATAAGAATAACAAGGAAATCATTCCTTTAATCTATCGAATTTTAAACCTAAGTACTGTGAAATTGTGACTTGACGCCTATTTGTCCTAAAGCTGTATTGAAATATATATATTTTTTTCGACATCGCACTATGGCAACAGAAGTACTACGTGTTTCATCAAATGGATTTAAATTGAACAGAAATAAAATTACTTAGTGTTCAACCTAGATTGAATACTGCAGTAGAATTCCGAACAGTCAAAAGTTTAGGGATATGAAAATTATGCACATAATTGATGACTGTGAATCCCCCTCGCACTGTTGCTTGTCTCAACAATCGAAGCAACTCAGGTTTCTTAAACACGCTGAGATTATTTTAAATAAAACACAAAATAATCGAACAAAGAATATTTTTTGCGATAAATTCCTCTTGCGGCTCTACAATTATATATACATGTTTATATACATAGAATATTCTAGAATAGTAGTCAATAAAAATATTAGTATGTTCTAAATAATATCTATTTGTAAAGTAAGATCACAGTGGAATTGCAGTTCATTAAAGATGCTTAAATCGTAAAAATAATAATAAACATATAATAGCAGATAGAATATCAACTAAAATCAGGAAAATTACACAAAAATTCCGGACTATTCAAACCTAGATGGCCAAGGTAATGATAATGTCTGAACCAACCAACTTCTTTTGGACGCACAAATTAGGCTCCTTAATCTGGATCCCAACGACCAGCCTCAGCAATATTTAGTAGTCAAACTCTTAAGGCGAAATTGAGATTCGGCGGTATGCGGTAAGTGACCCTGAAAGCATGGTTAACGTCAATCTTTTTTCTGTATCGACAAGATGAGATCGATTAGCGCTGTGAATAGATTTTGTTTGTCCTTTACTTAACCACGCAGGGTAATGTTCGGAAATTCGACGAGAAACACGCCTAATTGTATGGCCTATGTAACTGGCTCACTCCACAGGAGCAGTTAAATTGGTAGATACACATGGAAGAGGCGAAATCAGGCAGTTCGCCTTTTACTCCCGAAAACAAAAGCGGAGTGGTTTTAAAGATACAGCCGGAAGAGGAATGTATCGAAAAGAATATTCTTCGCCCGATTATTTTGTGTTTTATAGATTTCTGAATGAATACTTTTGCTATATTTTAAATAACTTAGGATAGTTTAAACTGCCTTGATGCTCAAATTATTCCAGGAAATTCGTAACATCTACGGTCTGGAAACTTATGAGAATGTAGTAATTTCAGAAACCTAAAAGTGAAATTCAACAGTAGTTACAAGAAATTAGACTGTATCAGGGGGAAGTGACTGCCTACATTCAAATGTGTTTTTATATGTACAGGGTAAGAAACTTGTAGATAGTGTTTTAAGAGCAAAACATCTTTAAGCAACTAAGAAACACAAATAAAGCCACCTTTAAGTGAGTCAAAATCGTCAACAACCCTATTGGAATGTACGCCACTCCTGAAGTTGAAAAACTAGGATATCCAGCCTGGGTCAGTCAAATTTAAGAGGATCCACAGATACTCAGGAACGGAATCAAACAGGCAAAGAAACATTACTGCTGAGTCGTTCTCCACTGACACTCATTCAGAAATTAAAAAAAACTCGTAGGTAATGACTACAATGTTATTCATGGGAAATTTAGGCCTGTATCATCCTTTCATATAACGAAATGATATTTCATACATTTATTCCCCTTAATGAATTGGAACAAAGCAAGGACTACAGTATTTTGCAGAATAAAGTGGTACCATCACCGTCACCTTCTCGTCAGCTGCTGACAGGCCAAACACATTATTAAATGTATCTACACAGAGTTCATTTTAAACAAAAATCAATCGATCCATATATGCATACAGTAATAATATATATATGCAATATTAAACACTATTCCGAACAATAATAATCATACACAATGAAAACTTTTCAGCATTACGCATTCAGATGAAAGAGAGATGAAAAATATCCAGTTACCAGGGCAAAGAAAGACTGATAACCGCTTCTTTCTGGATGCATAAATCAGGTTTCAGGCGCTTGATGGAAATGGCTTCAGCAAACTTGAGGACAATTGAGCTCTTTTGCCCACTGATAATTTTGAACGACTTTTCGACGTCCACCTCATGACCGACCCGTGTCGAGGAGATGCCTGGCGATGGCACTGTTTAAAGCATTTGTTCCCTTTAGACGTAAGCTTTTTGGTACATGTTCAGAAAATCGTAGATATGCCCTTCTTTCTGTTCTTCCAATGTAACTGCTCCCGCAGATACATGTAAATTTGTACATACAGTTGGAGTTAACATGAGAAGGATATCTATCGATTTTTGATTGCACCAAAGAGCAAGTTGTTCGATAGACGGGGACGAGCTTAGCTGCAGGATAGGCTCTGGCTAGTGATGTGCTCAGCCTTCTGTTGATCATTGCTGCAATGTTTTCAACTTTATAATCAAGTTGAATGTAGATTGGCGTTTTACCCACTGTGATTTGTTTTTGATTTGTGACTTCAGATCTTCCATACTTGTTGATGAACCTGTGAGGGTAACCATTGCTCTTCAACATCCTTTCAAGGAACTCAAAATCTCCCTCTAATTTCTCTATAGAGCATATTCTCCTCGCTCTATTATACAGAGTCTTGACTAGTCCACGTTTAAAGCTATTTGGACGAAAGCTTTGGAAGGAAACTCTAAACCAGTGTTAGGCGTCCATAAGTATGTGATCTTACGTATAAAACATATGAAAATTTACACTGATCGGCAACTAATGCGATAGTGTCAGTGTTGACTGGATTCTACCATTCCAGATTGCTATGTGGTGATTCTTCATTGCGATGCTTTTTGATTGGCCACTTAATGGCTGGCGTCTATGAGCAGGAACCGCTCAGTACTTGTCACCAGAGCGTATATGAAATCTTGCTGTTCAAACAGACATACGCCAGTGCTGCAGTCAAAGAAGTTTCCGCTGAGCTACACTGAACAAGAATAGCCAAGTGGTAATGATACTGACTACAACCCTTGGAGATATGGGTTCAAAATTCAGATAGGACATCAGTTCCTTACAGAGTTGCAGACGCTCCTGCCTAACGAAAGCCAACGGAAACTAAATCTAGGCCGAAGGTTTTCTGCTCATTTCTTTGAAAGGAACTAGTCTGTGGACAGTCGCATTAGAAAAAAACATCAGGATACTAAGTCACATGATCATCTTTGATATAAGAATAAAGCTTGGGCACTGTGGTTGAGTGTAATTCCATTATGGGTAAATTTTATTTTGATAAAGTCTCACAGTGTTATACAGTAATATTTACTGATGACGTTTCGAGCACAATTTATTGCTCATAATCATATCAAGGTGATATGATTATGAGCAATAAACAAGAGAA